AATTTACAATCACACACGTCGTCAAAAGAAAAACACAATCACACAGGAAAAAATGATTGAACTAAATTTCAATTATCTTTTTTTGTCAACAACTAATTTCAAGACATATTTGTAAAATTTAGAAGATAAACATATCTTGTGTGGAAGTTACTAAATTATAGAACTTGACATGATAGAGAAGTGACCAGATATCAGATAATGCATCTGACTGAGATGGATAAGTTTATGTTCATCCTATTTATTGTTTATTTATCATTTGGTTCCCATAAATTCCCACTTTTCTTGTATTTAATCTGTCTTTCTCGCCCACCAAAAAAAAAAAAAAAAACATTTTTAACCATTTATTTTAGAATTTGTCAAACAAACAGTGATTGGATGCCAATGTCCAAATTTATTTGTCTAAGAATTAGTAACTAACAACATAGTTCACATAGGTTTAGGGAATTAATTTAGAGTTATATTATTAAAAATTGTTCTAGATTAGTTTGGCATATTTTTCAGATTTTATCTTCAAATTTTATCATAATCAATAAAAAAATAAAAATTCAAAAAAAATTTGTAACTTTTTTTTTTTTTTCACAAGAGAATCTTATTAAAGTTAAACAAACCATACATGGGCTAAACCAAAAGCCCCACAAACTAAAAAAAAAAAAAAAAAAAAAAAAAAAATTGTAACTAATGTGGGTTATATAGAATTATAAATGTGGCTTTAATTTGCTTTTAGAGAAATTGTTAAAAATGCCCTTTTTTCAATACTCCTTTTCAAAAATGCCCCCTTTGAGAGTCCATTTTTAAGTTTGCCCTCTTTTAATTTTTAATGACCATTTTACCCTTATTTGAAACAAAATTAGGTCCACAAAATACAAAATATTTTTTGGCGGGAAAAGTGACCCCGCAAATTTTTGGCGGGAAACGTGATCCCGCAATTTTCCCGCCAAAATTTTTTTTTTTTGGGAAAAGCGATTCCGCAATTTTTTTGGCGAGAAAAATTTACAAGGTATTTTAAAGGTTTTACAGAGTTTTTACAAGTGTTTTATAAAGTTTTACAATGTATTTTAAAAGATTTTACAAAGTACTTATAAGGTTTTACAAGTTATAAATAACTTGTAAAACCTTATAAAAAACTTGTAAAACTTTATAACTTGTAAAACCTTATAAAATAGCTTGTAAAATCTTATAATATCTTATAAATACCTTATAAATACGTTGTAAAACCTTTTAAAATACATTGTAAGACCTTATAAATACTCTGTAAAAACCTTTAAAATACCTTGTAAATTTTTCCCGCCAAAAAATTAACGCCAAAAAAATTGCGGAATCCCTTTTCCCGCAAAAAAATTTTTTTGGCGGGAAAAATTTTTACGGGAAAATTTTACAAGGTATTTTAAAGGTTTTACAAGTTTTTACAAAATCAAATTTATAATTTTGATGTGTGCACATTCTCATGTTTTTCTTATATATTTGTGATATCTTTTATTAAAAGAATGGTAATTTAGTCATTTTGTACATAAAAAGGGGTATTTTTAAAAATGGACAGCCAAATGGGGCATTTTTGAAAAGGGGTATTGAAAAAGGGGCATTTTTGTGAGTCTCCCTTGTTTTTATGTTAAATCATATAATTAGATAAATATAAGGATACTTTTGTCTTTGGTTAGTCTACATCTTAAATTTAAAAGATATGGCCTAGATTAATAATTTTGGTTATTTTTAGATTTTTTTCATAATTTTCCCAAAACTTTATGTATTTTCAGTTGATAGTTAAATTTTTAGTTTGGTGTGAACTTTTATAGAACCGATTGGTTTTACAAAAAATAATCGGTTCGATTTTGGTTTGTATAATCCGATCAGTACCAATCCAGCAAAATTAGAAAACCAAAAAGTTATACAGAACAACATGACAAGGATTGGTTTTAGTCTTCAACTAAAGTCTTCTTTTTTTTGTTGTAAACAAAAAAAAAAAGTCTCAGAGCAGAAACCATGATGAACTACAAGAGACACGAAAAAGAAAAAGGGGGAGGAAGATAAAGAGGGTAGTGTTCAAGTAACATGGACATTTAGTTCTCTTATTGATACCTATCCTTAGTGATGAAGAGAAAAGCTGTGTTTTAGACATTAGGAGGTGGCCAAATCTTCCCGAAAAGCTCTTCAACGCGTTTCGCTTGGTTCGCATAACCTTCGACACCAGCTGATGAAAGCTCTACTGATGCAGGACCCATAGCTGAAGCCAAGCTTAGCTGGTCCCATTTGATCAGCTAAACCAAAATCAAACAAAAAGGGTGAGACACTGGTTTAGCTAAATCAGAAGCAAAAGAGTGTTGGTTAGGTTCAGAAGTAACCTCTTTGTTTGTGAAGTGGTAATGTGTTGCGGTTTCAGGAGTAAGTTTCCGAACGAATGAGTATTTTTCATCGCCGGGAATGGCGGGTGAGTCTTTGAGAGATTGCAGTACCTTTAATGGTGCAATGACATAATCTACCCTGAGATTGAGGAGAACATTTTAGAGTTAAAACGGGATCAGAATCTGTTGATGGTCTGCGATTTGGAAGTTTGAGTTTACCCGAGAAGACTGAACAAGTCTTGTTTGTTCCGGACTGCAGCAGCCATCAGCTTGGACTTGTAACCATACTTGTGAATGTAGTTATATGATCTTTTGACCAACGCCAAACCGGGATCTTCTCCCGATTTAATAGCAGATTCAATCTCAGTATCTCCCGAATGATTACGCGCCCAATCCTAAAGATTTTAAGATATTAACTTTGGCATATCACTGAAATTACTCAACACTGTTATAAAAATGGTTACCCTGAGGCGACCAACGAAAATCTGAATGACAGAAGCACCGGCTTGAGCAGCTGCTGCAGCTTGAGCAAAGCTGATGATGAATACAAAAAGAGATTATAAAGAACAAAAATCAGATGGATGTACAATTCTAAAATAAGAGAGTCAAAAGGTCTGTTAACTGTTTTATGGTACCTGTAAACGAAGGTCATATGCGTTTGGATTCCCTCAGATTCCAACAATCTTGCAGCTTCAATACCCTATCAGAGCGATAAGCACAATACTGAGAGAACAGTAAAAGGGAAAGCTTTGTTATTTGCTGAAAATAATCTTACTTGCCAAGTTGCAGGGATTTTGAATAGGAGCCGGTCGTGTGGTACATCGATTTCATTGTATAGTCTCAGCAGATCATGAACCTACACACATCAACAGCATGATCACATCACAAGTCAGTGAATTGAAGATACAGGAAACATAAACTCAAATTATATAACATATGGTCTAGTAACTACCTTGCGTATAATGCCGTTTGTGTCATAAGCAAGACGTGCATCCACTTCAGTCGAAACTCGACCTGGAACGAGTTTGACAAGGTCGCCACCTACGTTGACAATAGCCTGCACTTTTCTCATCAGTAATAAGGCAAAAAAATACTTGAAGCAGCAAAGATCTGGAAGAGGGAAAACAGATAAGTGCTTAGAAGATCAACCTTATTGAAAAAGCAAGAGAGTCGAGATTCGGTGGTTTCGAGCCCTGCACAAGAAGAATCCGCCAAAGCCATGTCCACAGCATTCTAATAGTGATGTAAAAATGTAAAAATTAAATAAGCCCACGACAAGAGAAGTCATATACTATCATCTACAAATATCAAAACTCTTGAAATGCTTACGCGGAAAATTGTATCGGGTAGACCACAGATGCCCAAAAGAAGAGAAGAGCTAACAGTAGCTGCAGTCGGCGGGAACCTGCAGATCAGCCATATACAACAATGGGATCAATCCAGAAAATTTAGAAAACCAAAAAGTTATACTATCTCCAAGACAAAGAGAGAATTTCACAATAACTAAAGGTTAGAAGTTATACTTGTGAGGGAGTTTTTACATCTTAAGCTAATTTCTTTCTTGTATCCTTGATCTAGACAAAAACTCAATAGAATCTCAAGCTATAAGAATCTCACCGATTTTATGATATACCATTGTAACTAAAGTCTCATGAAGTAGAGATATATATCATACCTCTCAAAGTCATCGAAAACGACAGTATCAGGAACAATCTCACTAAAAGCTGAAACAGCATTTAGCTCATTGTTCTCACCTGAAAAACACAATTTCATCAAACAATTCAATGATCATCCAAAAGCATTCCAGAAGAAATAAAGTTGAGAGCTTTAGGATCACCGATATCATCCAAGAACAAAGTTATACACCAAAGACACAATTTGTTTATTCAATTTCAATCATAAATCAACACTGTTCAGCTAAGAACTAAAGCAACCAGAACCACTGTAGCATCAGTTTTGGACCAATATACGACTCAAAGCACCCAAACTACAAAAAAGGTCCCTACTTTCAAGCTCAAAAATAGCAACTTTGTCAAGCATAGCTTCCTAACAAGTGATTCCAATCATTACAAAAACAAACCCAGATCAAAAGAAAGCTTGAATCGTAGTCAATCTTTCAAAAACACATACTTTTTTTTTTTTTTTGTCTTTCCAGAAATCATATTGATGAATGATGAGAAACACGATCATCTAAGGTATAAACAATACCAGCTTCGAGAGACGAAGACGATGGAGAGGAGGATGAACTAGCGGAAGCAAGAATCCGAGGAATCGATCGACGGATACTGAAGTTAACGGCGGGAAGAGGAGTAGCGGAGAATCCGGCGGCGAGCGTCTTCCATCGTCCCTTCTGCGAAGTTCAAAGCTCGCATCCATTAGATAAAAACAAACAATGCACAAATACATGCGATTGAAAGAAGTAAGTGAAGAGGAGAGTACTTGGATTGAAGCAGAGAGAGTTGCACAAGGCGGAGATTGCAACGAGAGTGCCATTTTTTTCGCTGAAGTTAATCTGCGTAAGCAGATCCAGCCGTTGATATCTTCCGATTAAGGTGGGTCCCGCCTTTTCTAATGGTTAGTAACTTTAAAGTTTTTATACATTTTTCTCATGAGTCTTCTTCTTCTAACCAAGCAAGAAACAAAGGTCTGTGTAATGTTTCTATGAAGCCGAAACTAACACTCATTGTTAAGAGAAGTGTTTAAATTGTCCGGCATATAAACAAAATAGAGAGCTAAATACAAATCCAATGAACACTAACCAAAAGAACGATGAGAACGTTTATGCAAATAAGACGACAGGAGGAAAAGTTTGTAGAAGAAAATGAAGTTCATTGTGTAATTCAAACAGGTGTAGCGTTTCTAGTTTCCTAAAAGGAACAATCGTAGCTGAAGAATGCTCCTCAGCTTTCTCTTCGCTAATTATATCCTCTACTTCCTTTGAGAACCCAACTTCAAGAAAAGTAAGATTCGGAGCAAACAGCAGCCACGTCAAATCCTTAAGACCATGGCATTTAGCTATAAAGACTCTGGAGAGGTTTGAGAAGCATGGAGTTGTGGGACTTTTGTTTCGCGACGATGATGAAGTTGTACTCTCTATCTTTATCTCCCTCATTCCACACATTTTTATCCCGAGCCTACGGAGATTACCCATGGTTGGCAGAGTCAATACTCTCACTGATTCTTCCTTAAGGTACTTAATATCTACCTCTTTTATACATTCCACCAACCTGTGAGAGCATAGCAATGGCTCTGCAACCAAACTTGATGATATATCTAGGGTCACAACTTCTAGATGTTCTAAGAGCTGCAGCTCCTTCACTAAACTCATATCTAGCAACAGTTTGGAATCTCGTAGTCCCAATGTCCTCAAATTCCACAAATTTGATATCCCTAATATACTCCCAAGACTGCTCATGTGTTCGAGATTCAGATGTATTAGCTTTTTCAATGTCCATAAACCAACGGGTAGTTGATGTATACAAGTATATGACAAGTTGAAATATCTCAAAGAGACCAACTCTGATATTTCTTCTGGTAATTCATCAAGACTGTGGTTCTCTGATAGATCTAAAACCACCAGATGAGGCATACATCGAAAGAATTCAGCCGAGATCTTTACCATATCGTTCTTTTGGAGAAATAGAGTTGTAAGTGCAGCACACTCGTGACTGTCAAATATCTCTTCAATCTCATTATTCATCAAAGACAACTTTCTCACAGTGTTCCAATCCTTGACTTTTGGTACTTCACATAACCCAACACCGGCTCGCACAATACATTTCTCCTTTTGCTTCCCAAGATCGGATGATATCCATAGAGCCATCTCACGAACCACATCATGCATTTTTACATTTGATTTGTTCCTTTTTTCCTCCATCAACAAACATGCACGGACAAGGGTACCAATTATCTCATAACCTTGGTTTAGTGTCCTCTCTCTGCCTTCTTTTTCATTTATAAATCCCTCACATATCCAGTAGTCTACCAACCCCTCTTTATCAATAAGATAATCTTCAGGAAACAGAGAGCAATACAGGAAGCAGGATTTCATCAGCTCCCCATTTAAATTATCATAGCTATACTTCAAAACATGGAGAATTTCATCTTCCATACCTGAAAAATCTGTGGCAGATGATGTCAAAACGTCAATGGCATGAGACCATTCATGTACTGTTCTTTTGCATGCCATAGCTTCACCGATAACATTGAGTGCTAATGGTAGGCCACGGCATTTCCTAGCGACTTTTCTAGCAAGTCCGGGAATGTCCGGGTGACTTCCCAGTGTATTTTTCCCAACTATCATTTGGAACAAATCCCATGATTCTTCGGGTTGTAGACAGCTAACTTCCATCGGATCATCAACCCCCATGCGCCCACACACATCTCGAGAACGAGTAGTAAATGCTACCTTGCATCCGTTATCTTTGCTAGGATACGGGACTCCAACCGCTTTTAAATTAACTTTCTCCCATATGTCATCCAACAATAAAACAAATTTTCGTCTCCTAAGGACATTGTGGATGTCAACGGCTGTCTGGTTATCGTTTCTCTCGCCCCACTCCATTCCCCCAAGGCCAACCTTTTCTGCTATGTCTCTTTGAATCTTACGGACTGTTGAACTTCTAGACACAACAACCCAGATCACAACATCAAATCTGTCACCTATTTTAGAAAAGTTATTGTTGATCTTGGTGAGTAGTGTGGTTTTGCCTACTCCCCCCATACCGTACAGACCCAAAATCCCGGATCCATCTTCCATGAGACGGTTCCATGCTTTTTCAAGCATTATTTCTTGACCAACAATTGTGGGTTGAAAAGGGATCTCATCCACCTCAGCAAACGGAGTTGCCTCAGACACCACGTCAAAAAATCCTTGAGAACGGAGACTCTCAACTTCCCTCAACATCATGTTAACCCTTTTCCCATATCGATAGCTCAATTTCAAATCTTTGGAGCAGAAACCACAGAGACATAACCTTTGAAGCTCAACCTCTTTACTACGAAGCAGATCATCAAACTGGTTTTGAATGAGTAGGACACTAGTAAGCTATACCTGAACTTGGGAAAGCCTTTGTTGACGCCCTGTAAACTCTTCTCTTTCCAGCCTTCTTATCACATCATATTGCCGACCCTTGAGCACTCCCATGGCCTTCTCCAGAGAAGCCAGATTCTCGGAGAGATTGTGAATATAACTCCCCCTGACACAAATAACTGAGAGAACTGACTCACTACTTGATCACATGGCAATGAAACAGAGAAACAACCTCCCATCTCTGCACAATCAAGGAAAAGAGAGAGAGAGAGAGAGAAAGATTTACAGATTAGGTAGAGGAGGAAAAGATAAGTCTTTGCATTCGGAAAGGAAAAGTCTATGTCAGTATATGCATAATAGAACATCTCTAAGACTAGTCAATGTGTAGTAAAAATGTAAACTTTGAAACAATCCAAAGATGTCACTACGTTGACTAATTCCTAAAAGACAGAAACTTACCTCCGGCGATGCCGACTCAATCCATATCCGGAAACGCTCGAGAGTAAAGAGCATAAAGAAAACTACTTTGCTTTAGTGCAAGAGTCCAATGATGCTACTGTATGCATCATAGAGTAAACATTCGTGGATAGGACCCACCCATCTCCAACAACTGTAAAAAAAAAAAAAGCTAAGAATCATCTCAAACAACATCAGAGTGTGTTAAGGGTATAGAATTGCAATCATCTTGAGCTCAGATCAACGACGGGACTTACTAAACTCACAAAAACAACATTTGAATTTTCCAAAGAGAAATAGATTTTCACTTGAGAAAGGAGCACTTACAAAAAATTCTCCACAGAGACAATTCATCATACAAGTGGTGTGCACATTGTAAATGATCACATAGCATCCTTTTACTTTTTTTCTATCTTATACTTGAGGGAAGAGAGAGCAAATATTAAGCAACATAATTTCACATTCTTCTCACTTAAAATACCATCATAGCTACTGGAGATACATACATTACAATGAACACTCACACTCCAAACACACAACCTCACTGGAGTTGTTGTTAGAAGTTTGATACAAATCATGTGACAGATGAAGCAAAAAGCAGAGCAACAGAACAAAACTAACTACACCCTTTTGAGGTTCAATTTCGAACGGCTAAAAAATTATATTTGACAAACCAAACCGAAAATTATAGTATTGGCCCAGATCGGGGAGTTGAAAACTAGAAACCTTTAAATAATGTTGTGCCAAAAAAAAAAAAAGGTTAGGCCCAAATGACTTATATATACGTAGAGCTAGGGTTTAGGAGGGCACAAGACAAGAATCATGGGGAAGAGTCGCTATAGCTTGGGCCGTGGAAGGAGCGGGTGTATGCCAAGTTCGAAACGTTCCTCGACTACTCAACGTAACTTTAAAAAACTTTATGCTGGAAGAAAAATCCGGAGGTGTGCCAAGGGATCGGATCACTCTGATAAATTTGATATTCAGGTTATTTTTATCTACTTTCTCTTTTCGTATAAACAAGCTTTGCAATTGAGGAATATTTCTCTGTCATCTAGGCTTTTCATTGAATTCATTGATTTGATTCTTAAATTACAACTAATATTATTATAACAGGAAAACTTGTCCAAGCTTACTACTATAGCTACCACCATGCCTCAGTAGGTGTCAATTTATTTTTGATTCTCTCTCCAATGTATATATACTCCTTCTGTGTCATAACAAGTGATATTTTAGTCAAAAAAAAATTTAGCATAGATAAGGATGTGATTCCTCCACTACAAGCGCAAAGCTTTAGGAAAGAAGAAGAAACTCTTGATGATCAAGCAGCGCAAAGCCAAATCCACCACCTAAGTCACTAATTATTTCCGCCTACTTTCTCTTTTATCCCCGGGAAAATGTTTTCCAATGTTTTGTAACTTGAAACTTGCTATGCTTTATGACTTTATTTCACTCCTATTCTTTTATACAACTAAGCAAAAGCTAACCTGGTCGAATTTCACCAAAAAATGTTGCAGTCTCAATCTTGTTTATGTAGATACATGTAAGATTATTAACCTGCCATGGTAAGGCGGTCACTGAAAGACCAGGGGCAATAGCCGGATGCATGTTTATACAACGGTCACGATTATCGTCGACCGCGACGGTCACTTTGCCGTTCATGTCAAGGAACGGCAAGTAATACTTATACCTGGAGATAATCAACATGATCAAAAAGGTCAATGAAAACGTTTTTAAAACATATTTATGTAGATAACTAACATGATCATCATAATTCATATGCAGTATTGTCAGTTTGTCTCTATGGATTGTGTTTGAAGAAAGAAGTTCCTCTGTCCTATATTTAAGCTGTATCTACGAGAAGAATTCCTCATTTAGCCTAGAAAATGCAGTCATGATCTTCAGCTCAGACAATGGACTTAGTGACTCACAATAAATGGACTCACTTAAATAAGGATCACCCAAAAATTTAAAAATCTTAAAAAGAGTTTTTCTAATGAAATTATACAGCAACATGAATAATTATAGGATTCTTTTCAAGCTAAATGAAAAAAAAAAAACATGTATTTATAGGTGTAGCATTGTGTTGCATTATTTCCAGACCATCAGTTTTGGGTTCACTAGAGATCTCATCCACCTCAGTAGACAATTCTACTTGAGAACTGAGACTCTCAATATTCCTTCACATCACAAGAACCCTTTTCCCATTTTTTGGGTCATGGGGCTCCTCAACGCAGCCTACAAGAAGGTAAGAAACGCTGTCGTGTCGCTTCGTCCTCCCATTCAACTCTTTCTATCCATTTTTTCTCCTTGTATTTTATGACAAATTCTTCAACTTTTACAACACTTTTAGAATCCAGCGGAAGCTTTCTCAGCTTCGGACAATTGTTTAGTATGTCAAGACATCTCAAACGCTGAAAAGGCAGAGCATTCCAGTAGATGCTCTTCAGCTCAGACAACTGATACAAGTTCAGGCATTCTAGTTTCTGGAAAGGAAGAATCTCCTTATCTAGAACACTCGCAGCTTTCTCTTTGCTTATTATATCCTCCAGATGCTTACACCCCCAAACGCGAAGATTAATAAGGTTTGGAGCAAACAGCAGCCACGTCAAATCCTTTAAACCATCACACCCTTCTATACGCACATTAGAGAGGTTTGAGAAGTTGGGACTTGTTAGATTTTTGTTCCATGGTGTCTTCTCTATCATTATCTCCCACATCCAACAGTTCCATATGGAGATGTAACAGAGATTAGTTATAGCTGGCAAAACTAATACTCCTACTGATTCCTCTGGACGGCCCCAGTGGTCCCTAATAAAAATGTGTTGAATACATCTCCCTACTCTGGGATAATATACCAATTCCCCAACCAAACTTGAGGAGATATTTGTGGTTATGAGTTCTAAATGTTCTAAGAGCTGTAGTTCTTTCATTAGGCTCGTCTCTAGTGTCGTTTTTGAATCTCTTAGTCTTAATGTTCTCAAACTTGACAAATATGATATCCCTGAAATGCTCTCAAGTCTCCTCGTCCTTTCCAGTTTCAGATGTACTAACTTTCTCAACTTTTGTAAACCATGAGGTAGTCGCTCTATATATGTCCCGGACAAATCAAGATACTGCAAGGACACCAACTCTGATATTTCTTCTGGCAGTTCACTAAGACTGTGATTTTCTGATAGATCCAAAACAGTTAGACTAGGCATACACCGAAAGAATTCCATTGAGATGACTACCAACTTGTAGTTATTCTGAAGGAACAGAGTTATAAGTTCAACGCATTCGGGACAGCCATATATGTTTTCAAAATTATTATTCATTAGCGACATCCTTTTCACAGCTCTCCAATTCTTGACTTCAGGTAGTTCATCTAATCCAACACCGGCTTGCACAATACATCGCTCTTTATGCTTTCCAAGATCAGATGATATCCACAGAGCCATCTCACGAACCACATCATGCATACTCACAAAATCTTTATCCTCCAACAATAAAGATGAACGGACAAGAGTACCGAGTATATCATAACCTTGGTTGAATGCTTTTTCTCTACCTTGCTTTTCTTCTATGAATCCCTCACAAATCCAGTATTCAATAAACATCTCTTTTCTGATTTTAAAATCTTCAGGAAATAGAGAGCAATATAGGAAACACGACTTTGCATCCTCCCCATTCAAGCTATCATAGCTATATTTTAAAATTGGAAGAACCTCATCTTCCATTCCTGAAAAATCTGTAGCAGATGAAGTCAAAACCTCAATTGCATGACACCATTCTTGTATTGTCCTCTTGCATGACATGGTCTCACCAAGAACATTCAGTGCTAGTGGTAGACCACGACATTTTTCCGAAACTTTGCGTGCAAGCTGGGGAATGTCTGGGTGGCTTCCTAATGTGTTTTCCCCCACTTTCTTTTTCAACAAATCCCAGGCGTTTCTGGTGTCTAAACAACTGACTTCCATCGGGTCATCTACCCCCATGCGTCCACAAACTTCCTTAGAACGAGTGGTGAATGCTACTTTGCATCCGTTTTCTCCACTCGGATACGGGACTCCAATCACATTTAAGTTCACTTTTTCCCATATATCATCCAACAACAAGACAAACTTCTTCCTCCTAAGAACGTTGTGGATGTCAAGGGCTCTCTGGTTTTTGTTTTTCTCGTCCCACTTCTTCCCAACAAGGCCTAGTTTTTCCCCGATGCTTCTTTGAATCTTATGTACTGTTGCATTTTTAGACACCACAACCCATATCACGACATCAAATCCACCACCTAGTTTAGAAAACTTATTGTTGATCTGCGTGAGAAGGGTGGTTTTTCCTACTCCACCCATACCATACAGACCCACAATCCCGACTTTATCTTCCATTAGACAGTTCCATACCTTGTCGAGCATCGAATCCTGACCAACAATTGTGGATTGAATAGGCAACTCTTCAACCTCAGCTATCGGAGTTGCCTCAGTCACCACATCAAATTCTCCTTGAGAGCTGAGACCCTCAACCTCCCTCAACAACACAATAACTCTTTTCCCATAAAGATAGCTCATTTTCATATTTTTAGAGAAAAAACCACAGAGACACAACCTTTGAATCTCAGCGTTACAAGTGCTAAGAAGATCATTGAATTGGTTTTCGATGGTTAGGATACGTGTAAGCCATACCTGGACTTGAGCAAGCCTTCGACGATGCCCAGTAAACTCTTCTCTATCTACCCTTCCTTGCACGTCATCTCGCTTAGCCTTGAGCACTCCCATGGCTTTCTGCAGAGAAGCCAGATTCTCAGAGAGGTTATGAATATAATTACCACTGACACATAAACACTGAGAAATCTGATTCACTACTCGATCACATGACAACGAGACAGAGATACAACCTCCCATCTCTGCAAAATGGAGGGAGAGAGAAAGAGAGAGAAAATACTTGGGGAAAAGGAGGAACTGAGAGATCTTTTACCTTCCTAATGGGAAAGTATATGTCAATGTATGCATCGTAAAAAAAATATCTAGGACTTGTCAATGTGCAGTGGAAAAACGCAGACTTTTATACAATTCTAAGATGTCACTGTATAATGTATTGACTATTCATAAAACAGAGAACAACCACAAATGAAATTTTATCGTCACTTCATTCATACAAAAGAAAAACAATAAACCCAATCTGTAGAATTTCAATCAGATACGGCAGTTAGTAAACTCACAAGCCACATTTCCATTTTTCTACGAGCACTCGAGAAAGTAGCACTTTTCTTCATAGAGACAATTCATCATACAAGTGGTGTGCATATTAGAATTGATCATAGTGTTTAACTCAACACTGGCGAAACCAAACCCTAGACCAACTGAAACATAAACACAAACAGAGAACAACCATTTTTGCAACCTCTAAGCAGGTGATGAAATACAAAACAACA